ACAGTGGAATAGTAATAATAATATATAATATATAGTACATTATAACAATAATTATTATTATTATTTATGAATAATAATAGATAATAATAAATAGTACAATTATTACTTGTTTATTGGATTTATATAAAGTTCTTAAAAACGTCACCAAATGCATATTTATATTGAGCATTGCGAAGGTTTAATTATAGTTATAAGACATTCATCGTTTTGCATCGTTGTATAATGCATCATAATCTCCGTTATAATGCTTGATGTTGATAAGTGTTGATAAGCTACTGCCAGTGGTGCTTGTTTGCTTCAAGCAATTTCATTTCACTACATCAATGGACTTATAATGCACTTTGATCCTTCGTGGCCGAATGCAATTTCAGTAAGTGACCAGCGGATATGAAGTACATAAGTATGTTAATTATTGATCATAGATCACAGAGAGTTTTCCTCTTTCTTTTTTCTCATTGCTCTCGCGTGTGTTTTATAATCGACTGACGTCCCTTTGCCTCCGTGTACGCCTGTAATATTCATTTACATTCGAAAGAAGATTCATGATAAACTGTCGGTTTCTGATTAGTCCTGTATGAGAAATGGCTCATAATTAACAATAATTGTTCTTATCTTACACCAATGCAGGCTACGTTATCACAGTAATGCAAAATGATATCAAATTCCAATATTGGCGTGAAGCTGACTCGTTGGTTTGCAGCATTGACCCCAGTGTTGGCTACACCAGCCTGCATCAACAGGTAACTCCACCTCTGCATGAAACCGCGAGGGCCATTTTCTGATGATTGACATACTTGGTGTTGGAATGCCTGCTGACCCCACTGGGACCTTTCACCCGTATTTTCACGTGTCTATTTTGACCTCGGAGGGCAGAGAGAAGCCTCGTGTTACATCTCATGCTCACAGATGGAGAGGAAAAAGGACACCTGTCGCTCCGTTAGCGGCACAGGGCCACTGTCACCGGCGAGACCGCGTCGGCTACAGTGAAGGCAACTGTGCTGCTGTCGGGCCCTTCCCGTAGGAAATACCTAACACACTACTGCTCAGCTCCATAAAGAGGACAGCTGAGTTTAACCGTTCAAAAAACCAAAATGAATGGAGATAAACGAGCGTTTGGCCTTTTCACCAGGGGCCCAAATGATAGCAGTGCACGGCATGCAGAGCCCCTCTTGGGGGGCTGTCTAAAGGACTGTTGGAAGGTGAACAGGCCCCTGCTGGTGATTCAGATTGCCACCTCGAAAATGAAGCCACGGTAAAATGCTTCCCGCCGAAGCAGCTCAGTGGGGCTCCGCGGGTTCCTCGCCCCTGCAAACAGTCACACTTCGGTTAGGTTGCAGGCACCAAAGTTATTGAACTACACGGTTAGGTTTGAGCCCAAATATGTGTGTGAACCCCTGAGTTATCGCAGGGGGGCGTGTCATGTTGTAAAATCGGCGTGTCTATCTTGCAGCGTGAGACTGGGAGGCAGCTTATTCCCAAGCTAAGACAGTAAGTTAAACCAAGTCAAAGGTATCTATTTGTGACCAAAGTAAAAGGATCAAATATGTAAATAAATATACTATAATACTATATAATAACTATATATAATACTATAATAATAAAAATTAATGAAAAAAATAAATATGAAAATATTGAAAACTCCTGTAATTATTCATTTATCATTCATTTGTCTAATTTCTCTTTCTATTCACACATTTATTTATTTTTATTCGCTATCTTTCCACATTTTTTCCATGCACCTACCTGTTATGCTTCCACGTTCATTTTCTTATTCTTTTACAGATTTATTGTCTTGGCACTTCGATGACTTGGTACACCACCGCTTTCCACTGCTGCTGCTGTAAACCCTAATGTTACCCAAAAGCAAAATAGCAGCTAAATCACATATTCACTTTCGAAAATGTTGTTTTAAGTGAATAACTATCACACTCTCCAGAGTCTATGTCTGCGCTGCAGTGTAAACACAATTTCTTGGAAACCTACAATTGGCTGCCATTTACCACAGTGACCCTACAATTAAGGCTTACTGTGATGTTGGATATGTCATTTGACTGAAGCAAATCAATTATCATCAGCGTTGTCAGCACAGTTCCTTCACCTCAAAGAAGGAGTTTCAGCTTCATTTTAAAAGGGTTTTCCAACATTAAGCCGAGCTGTGCTTCTGTTGGATGACTACTAGGGAGAATAATATCAACGAGAAGAATCACACGCACTTCACTTCACCTACAGATTTTATTGGCTTTTATTTCTTATTTCTTTCAGTCTTCAGTGAAGAGTCACATCCGCTCTGAGTAGGATATCAGAGATCGGAAGGAATGGAGAAGCTTTTCATTATTCATGCAAAAATAAAGATCTTTTTCCACTCTGTATGCAAATACCGTTAACTCAAATTACATCAATGAAATGAAAGAGTCTGAGTTAATTAACAGTCTCTTGTTGTTTTGTTTATGGTAAAGTTACTTTAAAAGCAGGTGTGTTTCGGGGGATTGCAGCAAAGTAATTGTGTTGGTTTGCTGTGCACTAAACTACAGGAACAACAACTGATTCAGGGGAGGCTCAGTGAATGGAAGTGTAACAGATATTTGACTATTTAATAGCTTAACTATCAACTATATCTTATGTGTGGACCTAATTCTGTCCATGAGGTCCGGAGCAGCCCTGTAGCTGACACGTTGTGCTGTAGGACAGCTTCACCTGCTGGAGGTTATGAGGACAGGCCGAGCGCCGCCTGTCACATTCCGTATATATGCGGCCCTGAAAGTCATGCCAGCGTGCGTATAATGAAAATAACATTGTTTCAATGATACGTTGTCATTATTTTAATTTTTTTGCCTTACACCCTTTCTCTATGGTATCCAACACTTTAACACAGCAAACCCCCATAAACATTCAATCGAACACGCGGCCTTGAGCGAATGGACCTATTGTCTTGGGGGAGAAAGGAAGATGTATACAAGGGAGAGAAAAAGCAGAGCCGATGTGAAGGTCAATAATGATCAGTGGTATTGACCAGCTACTCGGAAAAGGAAGCATTAAGACACTGGCTGGTAGAACGAGATGTGCAGAGGAGACTATTTGACTTCTGACTCGCGGCCTCACATGCAAATTGTTTCATTATAGATAATGAATTAAGACATTGTGTCTTTCTTTCTCTCATACACAATACAGAAGAGACTAGAAATGTACAGCGTCGTAAAAAACGCACTTCATTCAAACACAAAATCAAGACGGACGCAGTTAAACGGCTCACAGTCGTCAGAGGATACGATTCATACAATATTGCCAAAAGCGAAATGAATCAGAGAGATTCGCCGTGGACAGACACACTCACTCACCAGCGCAGAGATGATAACAACAGAAAACCCTCAGTCCCTCCATGTCGGCACACGGCCATCGGTTGCTGTTGCCAAGGCGTGAAATAATAACACAATTTCTGACAAAAGGGAAGAACCCTCTCAGCTTCTTGCTTCTCACTATCACTGTGGTGCTGTTGTAAAACTTTTATTTACACCTTTTCAGGTCATGAAAGTTAACGGTGACATTTTAGTCACTGCCTGATTCAGTGTTGGGGAGTAACCTCAACAGTTATTGTGGGATTGCTGGATTTTTGCATTAAATAGGAGGATCACCAAAGAGTGTGACTTCTTTGACTGGATTTGATCTTTCAGGCACCTCGGATAAACCTGTGGATATTAGAATAGAATAAATCCATTTTGATCATCAACATCCAAACTAAATCTGTAGAATTCCTGATGCCCTTCTTTTAACACAGAACGCTGTCTAGCTGAATATTTCTAACTGACTAATGTAAAGTTACTCAAGGTGACGGCTGACGTGCACCTTTCACACTCTTCAGGAAATGAACGTCATTCCTTTGGACGGCCGTTATCGTCTGCGCGGCCTCCTTTGTTTCTACTCTCCTGGTGAAGTTGGGAGCTATTGGCAATTTGAGGAGTGGCGGCTCTCAAGACGAAATCCTCAACGAGTTCCAGAT